CACTAAAAATTATTTTTACCCACACAATAATTATAATATATGTTGGTATATTGTTAAAAAGTGTGGATATAGATTATAGTGACACAAAAAATATGTTGTTAAATCTCATTCAAAATTAACATTAAAATTGTGTGTAGCTATATGTCAAATAGACATATACCTACATATATTGTACTTATAGTGACACTTTTCGTATGTCACTATATGTAATATTTTTGTAGTGACGTTATATTTTATTCACGGTATACTATGTTAATCTAATAAATGTTTCTCAAGTAATTGAATATTTTATTAGTTTATTGTATTTATTGTTTTTAAAAAAAGTTATGATATAATTTTATTAGTTACGCAGTAATTTTTTTCACGTTTTTTCTTACACAAATCATATATTTATTGCTAAATCTAAAAAATGACATTTTTTTTTGTTTTTGTCTTACTGATAACCTATCATAATCATTAATGAGAAATAATTTATTTATTGCTCATTCAATAACAACCTTTAGTAACAATAAATAATCCTTTTCTATGCAATGCATATAAATGCATAAGACCTTTTATTTTATATAATATACACATGGTTTCTTAGAATCAATTCAAAAATTAAATTTTCTTTTCTTCATTTTTTTTATTTCATTATCTAATTTCTCCTTAATTCTCATCTTTTTTTTTTCTCTCATCTCTCATGTTAAATTTAAATTCCTCTAAAATAATTGAATCTTTGTTTTTCTATAGTAGATTGATGATATGAGACTTGATGTTGTCTTAAAGAGACGTGCATGGCTGGGATTTTGTGACAAATTTTGTGTATAACGATACCGCACTAAATAAAATCACTACTAGTAGTGGAAACTAATTTTACTAAAATTATAAAAGATTAACTAAAAGATATATAGACATATATAGAATATGAATAAAAAAGTGTCATCATAGTATTAAACAAGTCATACGTACACATGTAAATACAATAATCTCAAAGAGACATTATATAACCTAGTGTTAGTCAAACACACCTATGCAAGTTACACAAAGTAGCACCGTCACTAACAAAATATCACACTTTTTGACAGAAGTTGCTCCTTAAGCTTAGCCTTGATCTACTCTCATATAATGTATAATCATCACAATCCAAACCACAATGAAAACAGAAGGGTAAACTAGAGTTCAAAAACATGTATATATAGAAAACAATTTTATATCATACAACATCATAGACAAACATACATGAAAGTCAAGCACTCTAAAGTAAACATGTATCTCATTCACATGATATCAACCAAGATATCCATTAATGCATATGAACATGCCATACCATACACCATATGCAAACATGTCAATCAATGTACGTTACGCACTCACCTACAGGGATCTCCTAACAATATGGGCAGTCTAAGTGACTCTATTCTACCAAACAAATCCAATCGTTTTCTCACCCAAAGCACTAGCTCGACCACAGTAAAGTGGGATACCAATCCCTCATCTAATTTCTCAAATATTGTCACTTACAACAGGAAAGTTCAATCCCATCATTATGAATAGTACAACTGGGTATAGATTTACCACAACCTTAGCATGCATTACATTTTTCCTCTACTTAAGTCCTAGGTTAGCCAACATGCTTTAATCCCATATCGCACTCTCAATATCCACACCTCACCATCATCATCTATATACATCTTATCCAATCAACACATACAGAATCAACAACATCATACAAATATACAATATACATATGTTCACCATCATCCAACACCATATAATCATCTATATATGTCATATCCAATCTACATATATAGAACAATCATCACACACCATACAACATGCAATAGAATAAAATAATCTGCTCATGTTCATCATACAAGTTTACCAGAACGCCAACATATTATCCAGGCATCCCGCATTCGACACAACACACCATGGATATATCCACATGCACAATAGTAGGGGCACTTGCCCCACTACCATTTTAGGCATACATACTTTTTTATATATATATAAAGTATATTTTAAAAATAAAAATTATATTCTAATAAAATAAATAAATATATATATATATGTTTAAATTATTGTATGTATAAAATTTAAGGGAAGATGTCCATTATATATATATGTTTAAATTATTGTATGTACAAAATTTAAGGGTAGATGTCCATTTATTTAATAATTGTCAAACTTTTGAAGGAGATTAATTCTCATATATGACGAAGAATACTTCTGGATAACAAATCAATTTTTTAAATTTTAATTATAATAGTTAAGATCGTAAGATTTATATTTTATTTAAAAATTTTATTATAAAATATATTTTTTAATAAATTATCATCTAAAAGTTTATATTAGATATTAAAAACATGTTTATATCATAAACAAACTAAACTTTATTTTTATAAAATTAACATAATTATTTTTATATTTTTATTAGTGTTAAATTATTATAAAGTAAGTCTTTAGAGTTGTAGTTCTAACCAAATATTTAAAAATATATATATGACAGATAAATAAGTCATATTTAGGGCATGTATTTTTAACAAAAGTTAGACTCAAATCTACTAAATTACAATATAACCTAATTTGACCTAATTTATTTTCATCCCTAATTGTAATCGTAAATATAAAAACTTATAGGAAACAATTATGATATATATTTATATTTTTAAAACTTGTGTAAAATTTTTATAATTAAAAATATATGAATAAATATTGTCCTCACTATCTAAAATTTCTAGATTCGTCATTGCAACGTACCTTATACTCAATGCCATTGTGGCAGGAAGCTTTCTGCCTTGCTCATGCCTGACATCATCCAATCCACACTTAACGTGATCGAGGTGGAGATCCCTTAGGACCTCCCTGACATGGCAAAACTTAAGTCTAACCCCATATTAGGTAGAAAGTCTCTACCTGACTCCCACCCAACATCACCAAGTTAAAGACTTTCCCCTATTCTCATGCTTGTTGCCATTCAAACCATGCTCGGCGCCATCTCAACACGAGACTAGTCTTTCTCCTCACACCCGATGTCACCAATCTTACATTCAAAGTGATTGAGATAGAGACCTCTGGTTGAAACTGCACCCGACACAATGTAGGCGCACCCATTGTGACTGTGATTTATGCATAATACAAATCACAAAAATCGCCCCAAGCTCCTAAAAAATAGAAGATCCAAGACATGCAAAACATCATATCACACAATTACAACATCCACAACTCAATTTTGGCATTAGAACCCACATGCAACCACTAATCCAACAATTCATTCAATTATCACTTTCATGAACCCAACCCATTCAAGTTCAACGTTTTCATCATATCATTCAAAATCCACCAACATAAACATGTTTTAATCACTACCTAGCAACATGTAACTCCATAGAACAACAATGTATCATTCCTATCTTCCCCTACCTCAACTTTGAGTTAACCAAATCGAACGAGAGGAGAAGGAAGAACTTCAAGCTTCCCCAAGTTCTATAACCACCCAAAGTAGCTTCTCAGCCTCCAATGTTTGAATTGTCACACCGAGAATCCGAGAAACCTATCGTGCCTCTAGGAAATCTAGAAGAAAAAAGAAGTCAAAAATCCGAAAGTCTATCTCTCTTATTTCTCTCTCTAAGGTTTGAAGATCATGAGCTTATGAAGCTCAACTCAAAATAGAACCTTATATACTTTTCACTCAAGATCAATTAAACCACTAGTCAGAGACTTTAAAACCCTAAACTCAACCCACCTAGGTATAGTGTTACATTGCGGATATTCTTCTCTTTGTAACAACCCGATTTTCACAGATTGTACGAAGGCCCAAAGCCTAATAAGGGTTATGTAGTAGCCCAGAACGAGCCGTTCCAAACTACTAAAACGAGGGTGATTTAGTAGCCTAGAACGGGCTGTTCCCAAACTGGAACGGGCCGTTCCAAAAAATACAAAAATTGTCTACAAATTTTATATGGGAACGGGACGTTCCCAAATTAGAATGGGGCGTTCCAAACCACTAAAATTTTTAGCAAATATATAGTTTTGATTCCTAAATTTTTTTTATTACAAATTTGATATATTTAATTTTTAAAATTAAGCAATATTGATTCACCATGAACATATACTTCTAAGATTAAATAAAAAATGATGACATAGAATGGAAATGACACTACTTGACAATTGCTTAACCACATTAACTTCTATGCATATAAGGAATAACATTATTATTTTTAATTACATATGTGCTATCTTGTTTTTATATATCAATGAAAACTCTTAATCTAGTAAAACAATTTTAGTCTTATTTTATAATAATATTTCTTTTATCATAATTAACTAATTATCAGATAGTGTCACTCATATTTTACATATTCTCTGTTTAATTTTGTACTATATGTTAGTGGTCGACTAATATTACTTAATTTAGAAACCTATAAAGATCAAACTTGTAATAAAAATTTGAGGAAGAAAATTATATATTTAAAAGATCATAGAAATTCTTGAAAACATCATAGATTCCATAGAGAACTCCTCATTTGAAAGCAGTAATAGGTTCTTCCTTGGGTAGTCCACAAAGGAAAAAACTTGGATGCAATTCCATAGGTCCAATTGATTTTGTTCTCTAATAAGAATTGAAATTTCACCTCAATAATCCACGTTGACATGTAATGGAAACCTTTATCATGCAAATTACCAAGGTAAAAGTCCAATTCTTATTAGACAACAGCACCAAAAGTACCTATGGAACTACATCTAAGTTGTGTCCTTCCACAAAACCCATATATCCATTAACCTTTATAATTAAAACACATTTTATAGCAGCCAAATATCACAGATATTTTGGTCCATTACTCCATTAGCATCATTCCTTTCTTCCCAGAAAACCATCATTACCTTGATACATGCTCAATAAACCTTCAAACAACCAAGTTCCACTACTGATATCCATCCAAAACCATAACCCTATCCCTTGACATTGTAGTTCCCTTAATATCCTATATGCCACACCAATAAACCATGTAAAGGACTCAAGTGATATCTACTTAAACATTAGTATACGCAAATTTCAGTAAATAACTAAACGCATATGTTTTAGTGCATAGGCATATTATTTGAAAGGTGGAACAGGCATAAAGTATCATGTTATTAATCAAACAAGTACCGTCAGAATTCGATGCACACACACAAGAAATCACACAACTGACCTCTTTCAATGAGTTTATAAAGCTCCACTTCACGTTGTCTTCACCTTCACAGGGAAGCACCAAATTACTTGGATATCCTCTAAAGTGTACCTACAAATCATAAGATACAGATTGATTGTAGCTAGCATAAAAATGTTGTAATAAATCCCTCCTAATTTCTTTAAGCAATCTTACTATTTAATTTTAAGCGGTGCTCCCCTTCCCCTCCCAAAATCAAAAAATAGTTCATAGCACATGGACCTATATTCATTTGATAAGCAGCAAACGAAAACAAAACAAAAATCTTTATCGTCAAATTCCACGGCCTCTCGGGCTCCACGCATAGAAGATCAAAAAGAACACCAGTGGGTATATACCTGCACGAATCATGAACAAATTGGTGAGTGCAACGCGATGCGAGAGTGAAAAAAGCATTGTAGACGCACCACTTAAGAGGAAGGCCCTTGTATTCAAACCAAATGGTGTCAACTCCAGGGGGAAGCGCGGTGCTGAAGTGAGGCTTCAAAAGCGAAATCAACAAAGGCAAGTAGCCTATCCTGGGGGCCACAAAATCCGTCACAAACATTTTTTTTATTTAGCGATGAAATTTGTGACGGTTTTTTAGAGACGGAATATATTCCGTCACAAAATCCGTCACAAAAGTCAATAAATTCTAGTCCGTCACAAAACTTAAAATTCCCTCACAAAATGCGTCACTATTAGCGATGCTATTTTTTCCGTCACAAAATTCGTCACAAATATTAATTTTTCTAGTAGTGTATCTCCTTTTTTGATTCTTATCTGATGGTAACCAAATTTAAGATCAATTTTAGAAAATATGAGTGCTCCATGAAACTCATCTAGCATACCATCTAACCTAGGGATTGGATGTTGTTAAGTCCCATTTCTACTTACTTTTTGATACTAATTATTGAGCAAATTCAACTCCTTCATTCCATCTTGCATAATATTTGTTCTCTTTTGATTCAATTTTTGTGCATACAAAGTTAACTCGAAAATCATCTAACAATACCCTGATACACCTCATTTTTTGTGTATGTATTGAGTAGAAGAGTTTGATGCTGAGGATCCATGGGATTAGAACTTGAAAGAGCCAAAAATGAAGAGTTAAGGAGTAGGAGAAAGCACTTTGTGCGGAGCTTATATGTTATTGCGTCGGGCCTGCTCAAGACAGAGAACATCACTCTCTGAATTTCACTATTGCGTTGGGCACATCTGTACCCGCGCTTTATTCTAGCCAGAGAACAACAATTCTCTGGAAGACTATTGCGTCGAGAGCTAAGTTATATTGCGTCGAGCGTGTAAAACCTACCTTAACTCATCCAGCTCGTATTTGAACACATTTTTTAGGGTTTTTGCCTCATTCACACAAGGGGCAATTTTTAGGAGTTGTGGAAGGGATTCCCAAAGCTTAGGACTATGCCGTGTGTGGATCTTTCCTTCGGTTCTTCCATCTCTATTTTTTCTTTGCCCTCATAGTTTTGAGTGGTTGTACCTATTTTTGTGAGGTTAGATATAACCAACTAAACTCTTGTGTATTTTCTATCCTATCAATGATAAATGCTTATTTCATTCATTGTTGTAATGTGTTTCTATTTTTAATGCTTGCTTTGGATTGATCTCCCATTGCTTGATATAAGGTTCATTGGGTGTTGGAAAATAACCCTTAAAACTAGCTTTGAAACAAAATACCTAATGAAAATTGTATCTAGGAATGGAGCTTGACCCATTAGTAGTCTCAAACCCTAGTCTTTAATGAGAGAACATATATTAGATATTCAAGGAATTGATATTTAATATATATTCCTAGGCTCTTTCTCTAAGGAATTAGGCTTGGGTATACTTATGGGTTGACTAAATAATGTTTGAACAAAAGAAAGAAGATCGGTGATACACCTCGGCATATTAACAACATCGAACATTGACTCAACCGGGAGAGAACCCTCAAAAGATAACCATACAGCAGTTACACCACGGTTACTCGGGAAACCACGATAGGTAATGATATAAGCAATACACGATATTGGATAGGCAACTGACTTGATCTTCGGAGTCCTTTTTGCAGGTACCTCCAAGACGCTCGAACGAGGAGAGCAGAGAGAGAAAAGACACACCCCAACGACCGATCTCATACGATCTTGGTTGGACCAGAACTAGGGAGATGACTTATCCGAGTTAGGAGTCCTACCTGATTCGTGTAAGTACATTTGGCGCTAGAAGGAGGGCCTGGTGAAATTTTTCCTCCGTCATCCTTATGGTTTCAACCCAAAGCCAAGCCAACACAGCGACGAGTACAGCACATAGAAACACATCAAATATGGAAGACAATCTAGTTCTATGACGGTTACTCGAGCAGATAGAATTGATGCGACAGCAACATGCAGAAGCAATGGAGAATCTTCGTAAGCAACATGAAGCCGATCTCCAACAAATGCGTGCTGAGCATGCTGCTTTCAGAACTCAATGGCAGCAACATCAGCCACCATACACACATCATGCCAGTCATGTTTCCCCTGCCACCGAAGAACATCATTCTTCCCCAGATCCTACTTATCCATCAAACCCAACTCGGACTCATCGTTCCGAACATACCCATATCAGTCGTCCGATTGACAATCACCACTCGGTTCATCGACACCCATTTGTTGATGGAATCATGGAAGTTCCCCTTCCAACTGCTTGGAAGCCGTTGAATATTGAGCGATATGATGGCACTACAGACCCCGATGAGCACATCGACGCCTATATCACTCAAATCAACCTTTACACAAACAACGATGCCATCATGTGCCGTGTATTTCTGACTTCCCTCAAAGGCGCTGCTCTTAGTTGGTACACCCAACTGCCATCCAGATCGATTGACAACTTCAACACCTTGGTACGACTTTTCTCCGCCCAGTATGCCACTAGCAGACCACATCATATCACATCGGCCGCGCTCTCAAATTTGCGACAACAAGATGATGAGTCTTTGAGACATTTTATGGAACATTTTGCGAACGTTTCTATAAAAATCCGCAATCTTAATCCGGAGGTCGCCCTTCATTCCATGCTTATGGCACTCAAACCTGGGCCATTTGTTGACAGTCTTTGCCGACATCAACCGGCAAGCATGGATGAACTCAGAGCACGTGCAGCTGGATATATTCAAATAGAGGAACACGTCGAGTTCCGTAATTCTGTCCGCGACAGTTTCACCACTAAGGGCGAGTCTAGTACCAGGGAAAGCTCAAAGGCTCATATTGACCAGAGATCAAAAAGACCTCGTCAATCACGAGGTCCCAGGTATGAATTTTACACACCTCTTAATGCTCCTCGTGTTAACATTTTGGAGGAAGCTAACCATGCAGATTTGATCTCTCTACCCCCACCGGCACACAATCTGGTCAACGCTGATAAGAGCAAGCATTGCCGTTATCATAGAAATTACAGACATGCAACAGAAGAATGTTGGAGCCTCAAAGATCGAATTGAAGAACTCATTCAAGCTGGCCAACTTGGACAATATATCCAACGCGGCAAAGCTTCTCGTGGGGGCTTCCGAGGACGTGGAAGAGGACGTGGCAAATTTCCTGGCTGATATCAAGGACGATATCAGAATTATCAAGGACGATCTGAACAAAGCCATTATCCTCAAACAAATACACGTGAGGAGAGCAAACCAAGAACAAACAGCGCTGATCCACAACATATGGATAAATCCTTAGAGGGAAATAACATACGTGGAGTCATCCACACCATCTCTTGAGGGTTTGCAGGAGGAGGAAGTTCTAACTCAGCCAGGAAGCGACATCTACGCATTGTCCAAAACGTCAACAATTGCCATAACTCGGGATCTAAGTCAAAAACTCTGACTCTTCCTATCATTTTCACAGATGATGACTATGAAGGTATCAGTTTGAACCAAGACGATCCAATGGTCATCTCAGTTGAGAATCATATCACACTCAAAAATATCTTTCTCATCACTATAAATCTGACTCACACTATCAATTTGCAATCTGATTCAATAATCACATTATGAAATTATGCTAAATATTTTTTTTTTCATAAAATTCACGTAAAAAAATATTTAACGTGTAAGAAATTATAATAGAAATTTATGTAAAAAAAATTAATTATAATAAATTGAAATTGTAATAATATAATAAAACTATAGTTTTATTAATTAAAATAGATTTAATGTTGTCTTAAAAAGACATGCATCACTATCACTATTTTGTCCATTGTGCAATTTTATCTATTTGGGAGTATTTGATCCTTTTTTCTTTCAAGAAGGTTTGATTCTACATGATAAAATTTATGATGTTTTTGGTTAATTTTATGATGTAGTAATCTAATTTTGTCTGAAAAATGCTAAAGTTTAAAAGAAAAAGAAAAAAGAAGTAAAAAGAGATAAAAAGAAATATATATAATACGAATCAAAATATAATTAGAAGAGATAAAACAACTAATGAGATATATGTACAATGTTGTCTAAGTAAATAATTTAGAAAAAAGAAAATTTTGAAGTTTTTATTTTCAACATCATAGGTTCACAATGTCATATATTTCGTTATAATTAATCATTTAAGATATTCTTTGCAATGTTGAAAATTTTGACAACAGATCCATAATTGTTGTTTATAGTATGAAAACCAAAATTTATTTCCATCTTAATGAAAAGGTCCAAATTAGGTGATCTTTTAAGAAATGTTCAAGTCTCATTTATTGGAGAAAAAAAAATTATGTGACTCATATAATTTATGTTTAATTTAATTACCTTTTAATCTAACTAATTGCTTGATTATAAGGAGTTGTTCCAAAATAATAAGCTATTATAAGAGTCATAATTTGCTTATTTTATTGGTTCTTAATGAGAAACAAATACAAGACTATTATGATAATAAGGCATATGGTCCTTGGTCTTACTTATAAAAACATTTGTAATGTTTCATACTTCCATAATCTAATAAGTTTAAGGAAAGACAAAGACTAGATGAGTTCGCTTTATTTCTCTAAATATCTAAATATTGTTACAAAGTTTGATAGCAATGAATACAAGAGATACGTTTTCGTTGTTATAAGTTATACACTATAGTTTTAATTTTTCTTACATTTGGTATCAAAGCCTACTTTGCTATTTAACTTATTTTTGTTTGGCTATTAATTTCAATTTCAAATAATGAGTATATTATATTTTTTTCTATTGAATTTTTATTACTCGTTAATTGCTATTGATGTGATTTTTATATTATTATCTACATCTTATAAAAAAAATTAATATCTTAATATAGATAAAGTACTAAAATCACAATTGTTAGATTATAACTAAGAAGTAAGTGATATAATTCAAAGATGGTTATTATCACAATATTGATTAGTTGTTGATGTTGTGCAATTGATCAATTTATAATTGTGTTGTAATTGTTAAATATAATATTATTTTGATCATAATATGACAACATGATCGGAATGGTTTTGAAGATTTTAGCAAGTGATCAAATTCGCTTATTTAATGTTGGTAGTATTATGTTTTGCAATTGAAAAACATTAGTGATGATTACTAGAAAATCATATATATATGACAGATCTTGCAATAGACTTAATTGCTATAGTTAATTATTATTAGTAGTAGCAATTTATTCACTTTAGGTTTAATTGTTAATTGCATTATGTTACTAGTAATTATCACCACGTAATTTGCAACTCAAATGAATGCATGTTTGTTGCCAAATGGTGTGTGTCTCAAATCTTGATGATTGTAAAAAAAAAAATTCTAAAATTATAGTAGCTTTCTATTTTTGAGAAC